GTCCTTTGTGTCCATGGATGTTTGTAGTCTCTAAAAAGATAAACATACAATTACGCCTATATCTGTGACGGGATAGTCAGAGGCATGCTCATATTTTGACAACTTAATAGGGGAAAGACTATAGCCGATAACCGAGTAATTTATGGACTAAAATGGAATATAGAAAGTAGAAAGGTATATAAGAAGAGAAAGCAACGGGAAGTAAAGAAATATTTATATTAAGATGGGAATTGGGAGATTGGGAAGGTTATGTAATAGCTCAAACATGTCATGGTTGTATATCTATCATCATCATCATCATCATCATCATCAACACCCTTTAATAGTCCACTGCTGGACATAGGCCTCTCCTTAGAAAGAAGAGTTTTTCCTACCACGCTGACCAGACGGGTAGGTATAGGGTTTGTTTCAAGTTTTCCTTCTCTTTGCAGTGCTATTGGTCTGTGTAGTTTTCTCCCTTAGTCGGCTCTTACGACACCAACGGGATGAATAGAGGTGGTTACACTCTGTATTCTTAATCTGTCACCACACGGACACGGACGGATGTATATCTATAACTAAATGAATTCTGATCGAATTTTATTCTTTCGAATAGTGATCAAAGAGTTATCCATATCATCCTCTTCCCATTTTTATAGTACATGCTTGCGATTAAATGATGGTACAGCTTATATTCTTGGACCTGTACAGAGAAATTGACTACAGTATTGAGGTCGTGGGTACTATTCCCGTTCACTGCAAATCTTTGTACGTCTTAATAAAAAATATATAATATGTATGTATTTACTGAAAAAAATATCCAAGTATGTTAAATTCTGAGGTACGTTATAGCCACATACAATTTGGCTATATTTATAGTGAATTGGTGTTAATGAACAATGTTTAATTTATATAACAGTTATAACTATGTAAACGTTATTTTCGATAACTTTATTAGTAACTTTCGTCAATTGCAATCTTTATATTAATTTAATGGTTATTGTATACTTTTTGCATGCTGCTGTGACAGCAGAATATGATGAAACTGATACTATTGTAATAACTTTTATACCTACTCATGTTCTGCAAAATAAATAAAATAAATAAATAAATCTATGTTATGAATATATTCTTCAAATTGTATTTGTCATGTTGCATGTCTAGATATTTGCACACCTTTAAGAGGTGTATATTACAGCGCACCTATGTTTTATATGATGTAACTTCTACCATCTTTATACCTGTTTTATGCAAATAAATGATTTGATTTGATTTGATTCTACATCGCGCAGTAAAAGCTTTTTGCCTGGATGTGATCCTACGATTCAACAGACAGAGGATCCTCTGTTTGTATAAAAGAATACAATTCAGTAACTCCAAATCATTTTTACTACATTAACTATTACCTGCGGCCTCGCTCGCGTGATTAATTGTTATAACGTGTTTCTAACTTTGAAAATGACGAACTGAAATACAACCACTCATCCCTTATTTTACCCCCTTCATCAACATCATCATCATCAACAGCCTATACTAGTCCACCGCTGGACATAGGCCTCTCCTTAGAAAGGAGGTTTTGGCCTACTATACCACGCTGGCCAGACGGGTTGGTATAGGGTTTGTTTCAAGTTTTCCTTCTCTTTGCAGTGCTGTTGTCCTGCTTAGTTTGCTCCCTTAGTCGGCTCTTACGACACCCACGGGATGAATTGGGGTGGTGACAATTTGTAGTCTTAATCCGTCAAAAACCCTTTCTTAGTGGGTGCTTACAAAATAAAAAGCATCAGATGACAAAATTCCAAGTTTGTAGCCATGATGAATCAGTGAGTCATTAAGGCAAGTAATTTTATGTGTAAAGGTTAACTATCATTTTATTTTTAATATTTTATCTCTTTTTACACAGAAAAGGTCCTGTCCTGTTTCCAAACGACGGGCCCACTCCGCCGCCAACTCCTCTAATTGTAACCTCTCGTCCCCTCATCGAGTCCATCCGAAGAAGCGAGCTGAACCCAAACAACACCGTCCAGGCTTCGTCTCAACTCAACCAGGTTACATTCAGGCCTGAATACTTTGATTCAGGCATGAGCAGCACACCACATTCTTATTCAGCAACGTCTGCTCCTTTGTACGAATATATGAGGGTTCCGTTTCAGGAAGTGTCCGTCGGGAATTTCCCAGGAATAAAGGAAATAAACGAATACGTGGTAAGTTTTTTTTTTTAATGCAACTATGATTATTGCTCCTAATAAGCATTTCATTCATTGTTAAAGTTACTGTACGACTGGATGGTGTAGTGGTTGTGTAACGGACTGCTATTCCAAAGGTCGCGGGTTCGATTCCCGCTCAAGTCAAACATTTGTGTGCACGAACATTTGATGTTTGTATTGGTCTGGGTGTTTCTATGTATAATATGTATGTATTTACAAAAAAAAAGAGTATATATGTATTTATATCAGTTGTCTAGTACCCATAGTACAAGCTCCGCTTAGTTTGGGACTAGATAGCGTTGTGTGAATGTGCTAGAATATATTATATTATTATATTACTGTAGGGCCAACTTAATTCTGGATGAATTGCCTTAAAGGGTAGCGGCGCACTTGTGTCTTCTTTATTGCACATATTACTTTATCACATGATTACATCAACAGCCTTTAATAGTCCACTGCTGGATATAGGCCTCTTCTTAGAAAGGAGGTTTTGACCTACTATACCACGCTGGCCAGACGGGTTGCTATATGGTGTACCGCCATGCTGGCGGGTGAGGAGGGCTGGGGCGCAGTGGTCTCTTTCTGTCAAGAGACTGCTGAACGGGCTCTGGAGAGGGCCGATCCCGAGAGTAGAGGACGTCGGCGGTGATACCAGCCTACGGTAGGCGATAGAATGGCGAACAAAAATAAGGTCGGGCCGCAACAGATTATAAGGAGTTAGCCGATAGCGGAGGCGGGGGAAGCCTACGACTTCCACGGGATAGGGCTTTACTAGGCGCGGCGTCGACCCAGGGAGGACCTGAAATAACATGGTTCGGGTCCTCCTCAGAGTAGGGCGCCTGAGTCTGGCCGTCGGGGTGGTTTTTAGTAGAAACACCACCTACTCCTGGCTCCTACATCCCCAAGAAGCCATCAACAAAAAAAAGGTACCAATCTCCCGCAGTATTGATTCCAATTCTTATTATTGTTTAACTTATTATTACTGTTATGATGTTATGATGATACAAAAAAAATTGGTTGCCTGTAAAGTCGGTATACGGGCGAAAGTTTTACGTGACAACGACTTTGAGTGGTAAAATAATTTTAATGTGAATATTCATTCGTATAGTAGGAAGAAGGATGAAATAATAGTAACAATTTAAAACATTTATTTATACAAAGAATTATATTTAAAACATTAATTTATACAAAGAATCTCGCACTGAATTTCATATTAACAAAATTTTATGTCGCCTTTCACTTTTTATGTCTGTCTCTCTCGCTCTTAGGCGGGCTAACCATGCCCGAGTGGAAGGGACGCGTGCCTCTCACTCGCTCTCATTGTGAGCGCATAACGTGAGCGGAGCGTAACGCAGTTTCTTGAAGTGTCACCCGGCAAACCAATTTATAAGACGTTGTCACGTCAATAATTAATTATTATCACTGTTATTGTCACCTCTAGTTGCCGACAATTGCAATCAGATACGGTTTTTTCCCAACAAGATCAAAGTATCTAGGCCGCCTTAGTGTAGCAGTTTTTCGAAAGAGAACGTATTATCAAGATTCAACTACCATGTGAAGCCATAGGATTTGCGATTAACAGCTTCTTGATCCGAAAGAGGAAATTTAGAGACGAGACTACAGACAGAGCTCTATATGCGGCGTATTGGCGATTGCTATTACAGATATATAGATGCAGATACAGATTACAGACATACTAGCACACATCAAAACAATGTTGTGGTATATTTAATAGTGCCATTGTATCTATCTGTGAATTGCAAAGAGTGGCCATGAGTTTGTTTGCCCTTTCTTCTCATTAGGCTCAACCCCTTGGAAACGGGCGGTTGAGGATCGGCACAGGCATATCATAGATTTTGTATGGGTTTGATTTTTGTTAAATTTATTTGCTTACTATTTGACAAAACAGAGATTGTTGCTTTTGTGTGTTTTGATCTATGACTTTAGAGTCTACATAAAAGACGATTTCAAACAATTTGAAATTTTTATGAAATAAAGAGAGTTTGAGTTTTGAGTTGAGATTATTTGCTTCTATCAGCTTTTAGCAAACTTTAAATAGATGCCTTTAACTCTAACAGCTAACGTTGACTGCAATGTGATAATATCGTAGTGTGACCGAAAGTTTAATCGCTATTATGCTAGTTAGTAATACTACGAGAATTTTTTTCTGTCCAAAAGTGATCTGTGTAAATAATTTAATTTAAACTATTTTTAGTGCTTAAATCGTGAAAAAAATACCGTTACATCGCTTCTAATATCAAGTGAAATGTGTGATAACGTTATCAGACTATACACTATAAAACAGTGCTAAATCATTGACAGTCGATTTCAACTAATTTGTGAATAAATATTTCAAATAAACAAACAAACCAATAAAAGTATGGTAATCTAGTTGAAAACTATATAAACAGTGATATTTTAACATTGAACAACGACATATTTGGTCCTAACATTTGTGTACAAAGTTGATTGGAATGCGTAAAAAAAACCTTAACGGTGAGTCATAGTAACCGTTTTGCCGTCCTCAACGTAACGGGTAACGGGGCGGCCGCGGAGATGCACTTAAAGCTTGTCGGTTCGAACTACTACTGTGAGTGATTTCACTTTTTGTGAGGTTTATTGACATTGTCTCTTAATAAACTACAAAAAGAAACTACTATCAGGCCACACATATCTGCGACTTGAATAGATAAAACGAGTACCTACAAACGGTGAAATACGAGTATATATTTAACACAACTGGACTCCATCGGTATCGCCTGGCTTACCTACGCCACGTGAGTATAATAACAACAATATATATCGTTACCCTCCAATATGGATGGGGATCAATATTGTAATATCACCTATAGAAAAAAACAAACTCCAAAATTAAATGTTAGCTTGACAGAGGAGACAGCTGTAGATATTGAAAATAGTTCATTGCTAGATTCATCAGTGAACAGTTTACCTGCCACTTCAAAAAAGGATTATACTTTACTTGAAGAATACGAAGAAATTATTTCTACATTAAAATTAAGGTTAGCTTCAGCTGATGAAGAGATTGAAAATTTGAATTTACAAAATATACAATTAAAGATGAGTGTTGAAAAATCATCAAAAGTGATAGCATTGTATAAGAAGATTGGCATTACGGAAAACTTGTTGAATGCTGTTTCTACTCCGGTTATACGAAAGGTTAAAAAAGTATTTTCCGATGTATATCCAGTATCACCTAGGCACAGCATTCCAGAAACAAATGAAATTTCAACACAAACAACAGGAATTTCTATGACGAAACATCTTGGAAAGCCTTTCTCATTTCTCATTCCCCCTGAGACTATAAGTGAATTGGTAATAGACAAACATAAAATTATGGACCCTCAACGAATCGCTGAATTGTTGAATGACTACTATGCAGATATAGTCAAACCTGAGGCTAGCAGTAACGGTAATAATATCCCAATAATCTCCCAATAATCCCTATAATACACCGAAATCATTCTTTCTGAATCCGACAAGTCCTATGGAAATTCACAATATTATAAAAAAATTAAATAACACTAAGAGTACCGGTTTTGATGACATATGTGTTTTGGTAATAAAATCCGTGTCTCATATGATTGCACCTATACTGAGCTGTATCATAAATATGTGCTTCGAACAGGGAATATTTCCATCTGTCTTAAAAACCACTATAATTAAACCGCTCCATAAAAAGGATGATAAATCAGATATAAAAAATTACAGGCCTATAGCCCTGACTCCAATATTTTCTAAAATAATTGAAAAAGCCATATACAATAACTTGTATGACTACTTTGAAAGGAATAATATTTTTACGCCGGATCAGAAAGGTTTTCGTAAAAATATGTCCATAAATTTAGCTATATATGATTTCTTAAGTTTAGTGTATCCTAGAGTTGATAAAAGACAACCTGTCTATGCTTTGTATATGGATATGTCAAAGGCCTTCGACTGCGTGGACCATAGTATACTACTGAGTAAGCTTGAAACGTATGGTGTTAGGGGCAACACTTTGGACTTACTAAAGTCTTACATTAGTAACAGAACTCAGATCACAAGTATTGTCAAAATCTGTCCTAAAACTAAATATGAAATAAATTATAAGTCCAAGAGTAGAAGCATAAAATATGGAGTTCCACAAGGTAGTGTTCTGGGCCCACTGCTCTTTCTTATCTATATCAATGACCTGCCAAAATCTACTACAGATCGTATGGTACTATTTGCTGATGACTGTACTGTTATATACTATGATGAAAATATTATAAATAATAGTTTAAATTCAATAATTCAATGGCTTCAAAATAATAATTTACTAATTAACATTGATAAAACTAAATTAATGCAATTTAAACAAAAAACAAAAAACACTTTACATACTCTAATAGAATTTAATGGTGAAAAAGTTGAATTGACGACTAGAACAAAATTTCTCGGTGTACACATAGATGACAATTTGAAATGGCAAAGTCATATTGATTTCGTTTGTAAAAAAGTGTCACAGTCATCTTATAGTCTATACATACTAGCAAAAAAGGTCAATCTTAACTCATTACTCGTAGCTTATCATAGTAATGTTGCTTCTAGACTTAGATATGCAATCATATTCTGGGGAAATACTACCAACTGGGATAGAGTTTTTAAATGTCAAAAAAGGTGCGTGCGAGCTATGTGCAGTCTTAAAAGAACTGACAGCTGCAAGAATTATTTTAAAAAATTAAAAATACTTACAGTACCATCATTGTATATTTTTGAAATGGCATTGTTTATTAGACATAATCCGTCACTGTTTACATTAGAGCTTAAATCGCGAAATAGAAGTCACCTGTATAATAACCTTACCTGTCACTATAGAACTACCCTCTTTGGGAAGAGTGTGTTTGCTATGTCCACAAAGATCTACAATAAGATTCCTAACAATATAAAAGAATGTGGCAACATCTATGTCTTTAAAAATGAATTGTTCAAATTTCTCACAGAAAAATGCTATTACTCTGTTGATGAATTTTTATAGACTCGATTTTTTTAAATGTTTCATGTCCAAGTTTAATGTTGGCGTTGATTCTTGTTGAATTTCTTACGTATGTCATGACCTACAGTAATAATAGAATTTATATATAATCTTTAATGAATTTTTTATCAAATAATCAGAATTTTAATATATGTACATATTTTTTTAAATACTATAATTTTAAATATTAATCAATATATTGCTTAATAATTTGTATGCCCAAATGGCAGATCATGGAATGAACATCATTAATAATTATGTAATGAACACCTGTATGTAACCCATGTATCACAAATAAATGATTTGATTTGATTTGATTTGATTTGATTTGAATACCTTTTTTGACATTTTTGAGATCGAGAGTAAGTTAATTACGAGTAAGTTTTATTACGAGACCTTCGAAGACCTTCAGATTTGACCACTAATGTAGGTGTGCAAAAATTATACCTGTTATTGTTCCAGAGAGACAGTTCCCTCCGCCCCGCCATCTACAGGGGGTCGTCAGACAACACCAACAGCGTCTTGAGTGAACCAAAGAAGCCGACCCCGGCGACTGTTACGGTACCAGACTATGAATATAGGGTCAGTATAAAATAGTTATGAATTTAAATATGTTATTCATAATATTTAAAATTAAACAGGGAATTATATTTAGACCAGTTTGGTCACCCTACGAAGATAAATAATTCTGTGAAGAGCTGCTCTGTACTTGGGCGGAATATGTCTATAATATGTCTGTAGTTAAAAATATATAAGTATACTTATCACCAGTCTGGTTACCATAACATATGCTCTGTCTAGTTGGGGATCAGAAGGCTGTGCGTGAGAATGGTGATTATTTTTAATATTAATGAGCATTCTTATATTTTTGACACTTATTAACTAACTATTTCAACTTTAGGAAATACAATGCTCTGTCAAAGACTCATAATATCGACATATGTGTCTTTCTCAAAATTTAAAAAGCGTTTGGCAAAATTTTAAGCTTAATGTTGTTTATTGTTTGTGGTTTTTTTTTCTCCTGATTTAAATTTTATTGCACTTTTAATTTATTGTAAATACTAAGTACTTTTCTTTTGTAGGCTCTATTGTATCATAAAATTATGATTTATTTAGTTAAAACTACGTATGCTGTGGTCTCTCAATTGAAGTCACACATAACAAATACCCGTGTGAAATGTATTTTGATAATTTGTGTACATCCTTTGTTGGAGATCCTTAAATAAATAAATAAACTTTAAGAATAGAAAATCTTACATTCCTCTTTTGCTAAATTTTCTTTAAAACAACACACACTGTTGGAGAAGCTAACATACGTATTTTTTATATTTAATGTCATGAACATTTATTTCAGGACTCGTCTTCAGGTTACTCAAACAATTATCAAAACAGATATACTAATGGAGACACCAACAAATTTTACATAACAGTGAGTATTTTTTTTTTCAAATTGTACATAAATTTCAAAATGCAGTAAGAGGGTAGTTGATTTTTTCTTAATCAAATTTTAAACTACTACTACTGTATAAGGCATCATACGACCCATATGGACATACGGACTGCAGCTCTGAAGAACTGCATCTAAATCGAACATAGCCATTCTGCAAAGATTCCAGTTTAAAGTTTTAAGAATAATAACCAATGCACCCTGGTATGTCACAAATGACAATCTACCTCGGCATCACCACTGTAAAGGAGGCAATATCTGACAGGACCAGGAACTACAGGGCATCAAATCGTTACATAAAGAATTTAATAAACGTGACATCTTAGTTCTACTATTTCTACATTAGTCAGTGAGGAAGGAAAGAATAAGTCGCTTAAAAAACATTCATATACAATTCGATGGGCCTGTTGGTCTACTGGTTAGTGACCCTGACTGCTACGACAGAGGTCGTGGATTCGATTCCCACCCAGGACAACTAATTGCGTGACTTATAAGCTAGTGGACAATAGTGTGGGTTATATGTTTTAGATATGTTCTAAATTACTTGTAATGTATGTATAACTGTTTTTTGTTGTTGTCTCTAATAAATAAATAAAATAAAATGAGCACGGTCCTTTGGACTGTGAGTGTGGGAGTGCTTTATCTATTATATGCATGTATTTAGAAATATATAAGTATGTTTATCAGCAGTCTGGTTACCATAGTACAGGCTCTGCCTAGTTTGGAATCAGACGGCAGTGTGTGAAATGTATGAAAATATAATTATATTATTATTGGTATTTATCATACATCACATAAACAGCTTTTAATAGTCCACTGGCCAGACGGGTTGGTATAGGGTTTGTGTCAAGTTTTTCTTCTTTATGCAGTGTTGTTGTCCTGCGTTGTTTTGCGGCCTTAGTCGGCTCTTACGACACCAATTTTTTTTCTCGCACACGCTGGCAATTTGCCCGGCTTGGGTGCCGCAGCGCCGGGTTCTCATTGCAGTCATCGGGGGGGATCTCTCGCTGCCGGCCGTCATTCGCTCCATGGCCGGTAGTGACAGATGTTTCACCGTGGTCGCATCCTTCTGCGAAGACGTCATCTCGAAGAATGAGGCGGCGGAGAGGGCCCGGGAGGACAACCTCCAATCGGACCCAATCCGTCGCCGTCGAACCGGGCGGCGGAGGCGCGCCTACCATCGCCTCAAGCCGCCCTGAGTGTGGCCGCGGGTGGACGGGACGGGTTTTCCCCTCCACCCGCCATAACGGCCAGCCGCGAGGAGGCGATGTCCGCGTGTGCCGGACGTCGCCTAAATGGAGAATGTAATGTGTAATGTTTGTTTCAAGTTTTCCTTCTCTTTGTTGTTGTCCTGCGTAGTTTGCTACCTTAGTCGGCTCTTACGACTCCCACGGGATGAATACATGTGGTGACATTCAGTATTCTAAATCCGTCACCACACGGAAGCTCAACCAAATTACTTTCATCACAAGAATTCATTTTTCCTGGAAAATAACTGACCCTATTGTTACAGGAAAGATCTACTCTGCCTCCTATCTATAGAGCATTCTCAGACTATGCTAACAACGTTTTAAGGCAAGATAAGAATCAAGGGTTACATGAAAAACCAGTCTATGAATATCAGGTTTGTATTTCACAACGGTACACAAGAAAACCCCCCCTCTAGATCATCAACCCAGTGACCCCCTACCCAGATCATCATCTATGTAACACCTTCTCAATGAACCTATTTTTTTGAAACCAAACACGATATATGCTGTCAGTTCCTCAAGGTTCGAATAACCTTTAAATACCACCGAAGCAACAGTACACCAAATTACAAATCAATCGGATCAGTGAAAGTTACTTAAAACCTTTTATCGAGTAGGAAATGAGTTTATAAATCATAGCTAAAAACTATCTCGGTAACATTAGCTTTCAAACAAAAACAAAGCACATCATAACCAAGCCTCACTTATTCTGAAAGGGGGAAGGCGCACAAATGGTGACGTCAATGGACCGTGGTTGTCTCATATCTTCCTATTACTTCTAAAAACAGGAAAATATCAGAAATTTGACGACCGGATGGTGAAGTGGTTTGTGTAACGAACCGCTATTCCAAAGGTCGCGGGTTCGATTCCCGCTCAATTGAAACATTTGTGTGCATGAACATTTAATGTTTGATTTGGTCTGGGTGTTCCTATGTATAATATGTAAATTTACAAAAAAAAAGTATATATGTTATAAAGTATATAAGTTGTCTAGTATCCATAGTACAAGCTCTGCTTAGTTTGGGACTAGATAGCGTTATGTGAATGTGTAAACAAAACGTCTTTGTTTTATTTTTGCTAAACTTATTTTCAGAACAACATAGCTAATTACAAAAATTACAACACCAACCCAGGAACTACTCAAGAGAACAATGGAGATCATAACTATGTAAGTACTGACTTTTTTTCTTCTTTTTAATAAGAGAACTCCTGCACTAGGAGTATATCCTGTGTCGCGGGGGACACAGGATATATTCACACACATACAGGGGACACATGAATGAAACGGACACAAAGAACAACCAGACTCAGAACAACAATTTGTGGATCACACAACATTCAGGACAACAATAGGAACTGGCGAGGTGATCTTCCGTCTCCAGCCAAGACCGAGCAACTCTCTGTTTTAGGTGCCCTAAAAATTGTTTCTTTAATATTGTCAGTTGGTCAGCTTTGTCATTGCACATGGCACAAATTCCTAAACCAGAAGCCCAGTGCTTTCCTTGTTACATTGGGTTTCTTAACACACTTCTTTAAAAGGATTTACTCTTTAAAGGATTCGTATAACAGAAAGTAATGAGAATATTATCAATTAGTTTTGTATAATGACCTGATACTTGAAGTTATCCTGTAACTTTCGCCCTTTATAACGAGTATTGCAGAATTTCAGATTTAGTTGAAAATCTAAGCAGTGTTACACATAATTTATATATTTTTTCAATTTACAGGGTGATAACTACGCCTTCTCTTATACTGTGAAGGATCACAAAACCGGAGACGATTTCTCTCACTCCCAAAGCAGTAGTGGATCAGCTACGAATGGAGAATACAGGGTTCGGTTACCTGATGGCCGTATGCAGATCGTATCCTACACAGCAGACGAAGGAGGCTACAAGGCAGATGTCAGATATGATGATATTGAAACCTCAAGTGAAAATAACAATCCCTTAACAAAAGAACATAGATTCGATGATTTCGACTATCGTTATTTAAATGACCGTTATGCAATAAATAGTTCCAAAGGGTTAAATAATAACGATAAAGCTATTTCTTATCACGATCTCAATGAAGACAACCTTTACGTTGATTATGCAGATAAAAATAAGAAATCATATGCAACTAACTATAATAATGATATACTGGTAGGTAAATTATTTACTGGTAATAACAGCTACAAGTTATACCCAAACGATAACGTTTCTTATAATAACGATATCAATGGTGATATATACAATGATAAAATAAATCAACCAAATTTAAATGACTATGATCTGTACGAAGACAAAGATTATTCGTCAGAAAACGTAAATTATCAGCCTTATACAAGCAAGTATTCGTTGTATCAAGATGGTAACAGCGCTGTTAGTAACACCGATTCAGTTAAATCTACTGTCGTACCACCTTACCATGAAATCAAAGATTTATTTGTTACTAAAAATCCAGTGCTTTCTTTAGCAGACCGACAAGAATCAATTCCTAACAGAGTAGTTACTATAGAACCAAAAAAGCATTCCTTTTTTACTAATATTAAGAAAGTTTTAACTGCTGCTTCGGTTAGTCCAAATCCTTTATACTATACTACATCAGCTCCCGCACTAAGTACTCCAAGCGGGTACTTATACTCCACTATCACGAATTTAAAAAATAAAGTCAATTTATCAGTTAAGCCTTTATTATCACAAGAATATATAAATAAAATAAACAAATATTTAGACTTAAAGATTTAGTTTGATGTAAAATAGTGTTGTATATAATTTATTTTTAAATATTAATTAATAAATGTAGTTTTTGTACGTTCTGTGGTTTTTTTTAAATAAAATAATTTGACTGAATCTTAACCTTTTTTTTTTTTTTTTTTTTATTTATTTAAGGTCGCTTTTTAACATCTCAGGTCATTAGCGACCACAATTGACAATAGGTATACATATATAATCGCACTGTAGTTTACACTAGGTTATAGACATTGATCATTTTCAGAAAACTTAAAGTTTGCATACATCCTTTTTTATTTAAACAGTCTTGTAAATTATTTGGCATATTACATAACTTTTTCTCGCTACAATAAGCTGTGCATTCCTCTAATAAATGCTTAACAGTTAAATCTAGTCCACACTTGCATTTATTTCTTTCGGTTTTAGTAATTAGATGAATATGTGTCATATTTGAGTGTCCGATACGTAGACGGGTGATGATCACTTGGTCTTTTCTACAAGTAAAATTATTGGGGGATTTATTAAAAATAGACTTCCTTATACTATATAACTTTGATGTATTTTCTGTTTTCCAATACTCATCCCAAGTAAATTTAATTTTATGTTTGAGGAATTTTTGTAGTTCGTCTGGAGTTGATTTATTTGTATGCCAATTTTCGATTTCATTTATTGCTTGCCTCGCTTCATGATCTGCTTTTTCATTACCAACTATCCCTTGATGACTTGGAATCCAAATAATTTCAAATTTGTAGTTATTTTTAAGTAGGTTTATAATTTTTTGTTTAATTTCTATAACTAGGGTATTTGTGTTATTTGTACTTTGTAACGCTGGTAAGCATGATTTAGAGTCAGTATATATTATATATTTATCTGTATTAATATCACTACTTATTAGTTCCAAGGCTTTAAGGATTGCTATTGCTTCGCAACTAAAAATTGTATTAAAATCTCCAAGTCTATAACGGTAACAATTATTCCCATATACTATTGAACATCCTGATTTTCCGTTCTTAACTGACCCGTCCGTATAAAAAATCTTACAATCTGTGTACCTACTATTAATAATCTTAACCTTGTGTCATTGAAATATTAAAAAACAAATGGCTTCAAAATATATAAGAATTAATGATCATTTCCGTGAAGTATTTCTGGGAAAACGTATTGGTAATTGTAGGAGACTTCAGATTCCGCATTTAGACTAGTAGCACTAGTAGACGGTAATTAAGGTTGACAAAGCACTACGAACACATTTACGAATATGGATTACTAGTAATTTGCCTGCAAATAACATAAGGGATATTTTATTTTGAGAACATAATTGATTTTCTATAAAAATGACGATTTGTAGGTATCAAAAATGTTATATCTAAATAAACCTATTAGTCACCTACATCTATCCTACATATTTAAGTGCAATATACTTTTTGGATTGTTCAAATCGGTCAATTCGTTTTGAAGTTATGATTAGTAATAACAAAGTAAAAATTACCTATAAAATGAAGTCACTGCCCGCCTCTTTAAGCGTAGATCTTTTATGCAAACTGCACAACGAATTTTAATGCAGTTCTCATCAGTAGAGAGAGTGATTCAAGAGGAAGGTTTATATGTATAATACATGCTTATTATATTAGAGAAAATCCGAGAATTTCAAAGTAATGTGATGTCGTAACAAACACGTTTTTGTGCGCTTACATTTCAAACGCTGGCTAAACTTTACGAGATACATCAAAATAATGTACTCGTACTACCGAATTGTATATCTTAAAAGATCTACAAAAAAGTCCGATTCGGTATATAACTATCTCTGAAAAATAACCCACAGTAACTATTTTTATCTTTTACATCTTACAAAAAAGTTATGTTTTTGTCCAATTTAATACATTAATGTATTTAATGTAGATCGAAATCGCCCTTTCTAGCATATCATCAAAATGACAATCTTACAAGATATCAGAGATTTAAAAAGCTTTAATGGCCAAGGGCATAATAGACGCTGTGCCCCCGCATTTTTAAATCAGTGCCTGTAAATACTGTATAATCTAATGCTATAGTCTAATAACAATATAATTAATTTCTCCGTTCTGACAATACATTCTTATCTACCTTGCACCACTATGAAACCACGCCATCTAGTTTCAAACTAAACAAAGCTTGTACTATGAAAGCTAGATTGACTGATAGAATACTTAAATACTTTTTGTTTTCTAAATACATACATATAATACATAGAAAAACACACAAACTCCGAAACAAATATTTGCAGATCATACAAACATTTGGTCCAACCCGGGAATCGAACCCGGAACCTCAGCGCAGCACAGCACACCTACCACTGCGCCACCGAGGCAGTCACATATATTGTAGTATACACACTTATATATAGTTTTCATACGAATTCAAAATATTTTACATTTAATTATTTTTTTTACTTTTGTACACTGTCAAATCCATCTTAATTTTATACCCTCTCCATTTAGAATTTATATTATGTGTATTTAAGTATATAAATATATATGTATGTATTATGTATATATGTATGCATATTTATGTATTATCTGTATTAGTATTATATGTGTATTACTTTTTGTATTTATCTTTAAAATTATTCCAATGTTATTTTTATAAGTACTCTGGTTATATGATCTTCTATATATGCTATAGTTTTAATAAATCACATTTTTAATTTCTGTGCATCTACCACGTTTGGCTCTGCATCGCCCTAAGGTCGACTGGGAGAAAATGCCTACGGCATTAAGTCCGCCTTTGCCACATTTGTGCATAAAGATTTAAATAAATAAATAAATAAATATCGACTTTCACACTATAAATTTTCTATCCTAAAATATTGGCAGATACACGCTTTCTAAGCAAACATTGTACAACTCATTTGAAGCTTATGCGTATCTTACAAACAGAACAGTGAATAATATTATTTTCCCAAATTATTCTCAACGTTGCAGACAAATAGGGGTAAGTACTTCAATAGGTAGTAGTTGTACCTACAATGTTCCTAAGAACGCAAATATTTCACCACGTGATACACACGGACTGATCAAACCGACTGACGTCAGTTCTTTAATGATAAATTACTCGGTTCATCGTCATCATCAACAGCCTTTAATAGTCCGCTGCTTGACATAGGCCTCTCCTTAGGGCGGGATCCACGGGATGAACAGGGGTGGTGACATTCCGTATTCTTAATCCGTCACCACACGGACAGTGCGTAGTGTAGTGGATTTGATTATTACCCAGGACAAAAACTGTGTGATGAGCACGATTGTTCGTTATGTTTCTGGACGTAATTTATGTGTAATATGTATGTATATTTAGAAATATATAAGTGTCTTTATCAGCGGTCTGGTTATCATAGTAAAGGGTCTGCCTAGTTTGGGATCAGACGGCGGGGCTGTTAAGTCGCAAGGTCGTGGCAATGAATACACGTTTCGTTTGAGCGGTAATCAATCGTCTTTCTCTACGTCCGTGAGTCGCGAAGGTTAAGTTAACCGAAAGTTCAGGCTTAACTTTGATAACTGTTGATGTAACGATGTAAGGGTAATTTTACTGATATTCAGCACAGTTCTGAACTTGCCTCTGTTAGCTTAATGTGCGTATACCGCTTACACTATAGTACTTAGTACGGAACTGTTTAAATACATCAGTTTGAAATGGTTGAAACTTAAACCGTGTTTTTGCAAAACATGCACAAACGAAAACTTTAAGTTTATTTGTTTGATAGTTTAAGCAAATAATAAGTAGCAATGTATTTATGTATGTTAGTTATATCTAGGGCTGCCATCTCTAAAACCTGCCCCGCAGGACCGGAAGCGTAAGTTTCCCGGACTTTGGAGCTTTCACCCAGGACATTTCAATCATTTTTATTCACTTACATCTTGTTTAGAATATATTTTACTCCGTACTTTAAAGAAAAACTTTAATTTTAAGCCTCTTTTGTTGCATGAAATAGTGTGTTTAATCGTTCTTGTGACGACAAGTAACTAATTTTGCTGTATTTTTAACCTTCTCAGGTATTAAATAAAATATAAACAAACCCAATATTAGTTACTCAGTTAATAAAACTAAATGAAAACTTGTTTAACAAGGGCAGCGCGTGCGGTGAAATACCTAACCCATAGCTTTTATTTACATAAATTATGGGAACTTGATCTGATCGAAAACCCGGACTTTTATTGTAGTCCGGGTTGCACCCGGACGCTCCCCGGGCGTCTTCCAAACTAGGACAAATCCGGGGAAACCCGAACGGATGGCAGCCCTAGTCATATCTAATATAGGTTTATCTCTCCTTTACCAAACTATTCTGAATTACAACAAATTTAACATTTTATCTTTGCCTCTACCGCATCATATTTCTACACCAGCGAAGGTCGACCGGGTGAGAATGCCTCATGGCTTTAAGTCCGCCTTTGTACAACATATACCGTAAGCTTTAAATAAATAAAATAAATAAGTAGGCCAATACCACCTTTCTAAAGAGAGGCCTATATTCAGCAATTAAAGGCTGTTGATGAAGTGAAATGAGATAACTGGGGCTCAATTCAACCTCCCCCCCCCCCCCCCCCCTAACTAGCGGAGCACTTATAAGGCGGCAGGCGGTAGTCACTTACCATCAGTTGACCCGTCTGCTCCTCAAAATAAATAACTACCAAATTCACCATTAACATCTCATAAGGATAAAACTACTGGAAATAATTATTCCAGCTTTTAAACAAACAACAAAATTCACATCAAATAATTATTTCTTTTTCCTCCCAGTTACATTCAGATGCACTCCGGGTCTTAGACGGCGCATCTTTGGCGTAGAGCCAACATCGACTCAGCAGCTGCACTATTGGTCCAGTGATGGGACCAATCATCGATAATTTCCATAGATATCGATAAGTTACGTGACTTTGCAAGATTTTGTAACAGCGATAAGGTTATGAAAGTACAACTTCGTGACTCCGTTGGAATAGAAATGAAAGTTTTAAGAATACTTTTTTATATATAGTCTTGTGTGACTTTCAAGGCTTTGAGACATATTAGAAATATATTACTATAGAGAGTAATTTTTAAAATGCATTAATAAACATAGGGCTAATTCCGATTAATAGAATTGTATTAGACAAGTTTATTGAACTATTATGTTACGAAGTCTATGAATTTTGCAAAAGAAAACTAATAGTCACAACACAACATATTATTATAAAATGGATGCCGGCTATTGCCAACTTTCCTCTTCAGCATGGAATCTTTTTCAGGCGGGAGAAAAGAAGATACTTAAGGTAAGGACAAAGAGAAAGAGATCAAGTGTTTTTGATGCATCATGTTAGCGCACTATTTTTTATAATATGTATAAATATCTGTTACCATTTTTACTTCATAATCATCATTTCAGCCGAAAGACGTCTACTACTGGACATAAGCCTCCCCCAAAGATCTTCACTACAACCGGTCCTATGCTTCCCCATCCAGTGGCTTCCCGCGACCTTCAACAGGTCGTCGGACCACCTTAGCGGGGTTACGAGTAGTTTTCACAGAACCTATATTTTGTTATTTGCCATAAAAACTATCGATAAATTTTATCACATCACTACACGAATCGTTGTCAATAATCGACTAGATAGCGACCGCAGCGTTATCTGGCACCTATTCTACTTTCATGTTAAAATCCAAGTCTCATTTCTGGTGTCGCAGAAGATTGGCTCAATAATGGCTGATATGTGAAGTTCCGTTTACTTAATTACGAGTATGTTATTCTTTTAATAAATACATCACATCACATTACATCAACAGCCTTTAATAGTTCACTGCTGGACATAAGCCTCTCCTTAGAAAGGAGGTTTTGGCCTACTACAAATAAATACTCTAAATGTAAAATAAATTATATAAACCACGGTCTAAAGAAAATCGAATTCAAACAATTCACCAGAATGCTGTTAAACATACTTATATATTTCCAAATACATACACATTACATATAGATAAATTTTAAACTTATACACGGTACAAATAATAATAATATCTCACACATCTCACACACGGCCGTCTGATCCCAAACTAGGCAGAGCCTGTTCTATGGTAACCAGACTGCTGATAAACCTACTTACATATTTAAATACATACATATTATAGATAAATTACACCTAGACACCGAACAAATGACCGAAACCACGACCTCCGGCCTATACTAGCTAGCAGTCAGAGTCACTAACCATTACACCAGAGTATAATCAATCTCAGTACCAAATTTCATACAGATACGTTTAGCCGTTCCTAGCGTGATTGAGGAAACATCCGTCCATCCATTCTCACCACCTTACTCTTAGTCTAGACTTTATTTATTTATTTATTTTATTTAAAAAAGACAACTCCCGCATTAGGAATATATCCTGTGTCGCGGGGGACTTTACAAACATACATGAAACGGACACAAAGAACACCCAGACTCATAACAACAATTTGTGGATCACACAAAGTGTCGTCCCATGTGGGGTTTGAACCCACAACACTCAGCGTTGTAGGAAGCGGTGTGGCGACCGCTTAAACCACTACGCCATCCGTGCAGTCAACTACAGTGCAGACTAGTCATTAAACGTGGATTCGTTTTTACTAACGTGACGTTTAGTAACAACAGTGTGCAAATTAATAATAGCTAGTGATGGTCAATTATAAGTTTTCATATATACATCTAAATAACGTCGATAACTTAACATCTAAACGACTTACAAGTAAACTAACATAACAATCGTAAAAAAAATGAATTTAACTTAATTCTACACATGGAAAACCTGTTTACACATGATTCTTTTCATTTTAGTGACACTGGTGGTGAACAGGTCGATGTCTACATTCCGACATGCCATGTTATGCATGCAGCTGGTCCTACATGATGGTGGATCCTGGTATTACATGATGTGTACATTTATTTTTCGCATAAAACAGATATTAATCTGTAAATACTTTTTTTTAAACTTCGTCTTATTAACCAATATTATTTCGAAACATAAATTTAAATTTCGACTGTTTTAGATGTACGAGTATTTACATATCACTATCGCAGTGTTGCTGAAAATCATATAGTATAGTGGTGCAGCATTATGCTGAGCAACATCTCCTTTTAATGAACACTGCGATGCAATTGTACAGAAAATATCTTATGTGTAAGAATATATAGAAATTTATATAAATTGTTACCATTTTAATTTATAAATATGTTAATTATTACTGTGTTTAATACTACAGTATATTCTAATTCTGTACATATTACAAGAATATATATATTTTGATTCTTTGCAATAATATTTTGTTTGCGTTGCAATGTCTTTCAAATAAAACTTTTCTTTCTTTCTTTTTATTAAATAACTAGTGGACCCGGCAAACGTTGTTTTGCCATATACATTATTTAAAAAAAATTGTAAAAAAAAAATATAGGGTATGAAAAAGTAGATGTCGGCCGATTTTCAGACCTACCCGATTTGCACACAAAATTTCACGAAAATCGGTAGAGCCGTTTCGCAGGATTTCAACCACGCACACCGTGTCACGAGAATTTTATATATTAGATATTTTCCTGTAGTTTATGCTTATAGTAGAAGATGCGATCTGCATAAAGACTTAAATGATACACGCAGTGTGATTTTGTTTCATTCATTGTGTTAAATAAAAAAGATGAGACCACAATTTTTGCACCTTTCATCTATGGGAAGTAAATGACCCTTTTTCATCGAATACTATGTAGTTGAGTAAGTAACAGTTCAAACGAAATTGTATGTACCTTTTAAATTTCCTTTAAATGCTTTCTAGACGATTTATGCGATATTCATAAATTAAAGCGAGAATTCATTTGATCGCTTGGTTAGCTATGACGTGTAATCATATCTACAAACAAACTCATAAACAGTTCGCAATAATAACATTAATTAGAATATCAAGTCTTAAAAGCCAAAAAGTAACGAATCGATGAATAAAACGATAAGAAACCAATTCGTATATATGTTTACATGGCGGATAAATCTAGTACTTGTATACTTTATCTAAACCAAGTAAATAAATTTAAAATGTTCTAAATATAGTCTGGACTGTCATTAACATCGTAGCTCCTAAACGAATATCAAGAGTTATAAATACGTTGCTGGTTTTGGAGTTAAGAAGGCCCAGATTTGGTAGGAGGAGATTTCACTTCCAGTCCCCTCATTTACTTGCTCAATTGTAACGAAAGAATGGCTTAACACCGGTTCTCTGTAACACCATGGCATCTCTTCTGACTCTCCTTTCTAATATTACTGTTTCTCTATATTTCTTGAGACGATCCACGGCGGATCATAACCTTGCTTACTAATTGATCAATTTATTCCTCTATTATTTTTGTTAGTCTATTAAACAACGATCTTATTACATAATTTTGATCTTGCTGAGTGAGGTATCAAGTCGTAACTAATTCAGTAGATATAAAATTTAATACTTCAAAAGTATTTGTCTGTTTAAACCCCTATCATAAAATACTGTTGCGCAATATGAATAAATGGTTCGATTGTATGAAATGTGGCGGACAGCGCCATCTTGTACCGACTAAAGTACATCTATTGAGATTGTGGTTAATGAGAGTAGTTCTGATCCTTACACCGCTAGATGGCGCTGCAAGTAACGGGTTCTGGAAAATTCTTGTTGGTTTGAATCGAATACTAGAAATTTTTCTAGTAAAATTGAAAAGCGCTATAATAGCGGAGCGTCTTGGCTATTCAAGACAGTATCGTTTGACGACACAGCGAATTAACATCGCAGTGAATTTCTAGTGCGACTAACAAGATATATAATGATTTCTAGTCTATTATAGTGAGTGTTTGTAAATACAGTGAAATAAAGTAATTAATAGACAACTCTTATGTATTATATATACCCGCTCGTAACAATACACATACAATTCTTCTCGTATACTCAATCTAATATCATAGGATAGGCAGAAACATTCCTGCCTATCCTTTCGCGAAAGAGTGGTGGTTACTCAACAACAAAGAGTGGTGTGAAACCTTGTGAGATCAAAGTCTAGTTGGCGAAATATGTGTCTTAATTACATAATTAAGACACACATTACGTCGGCAGTCAATAACAGAAGTTGGGAAAAATAAGACGGGAATAGAATCGTATGACACGAATATAATACTTAAACAATCCATTCTGGCTTGGGAAGCGTGAACAAAAACTCGAGTAGATCAGCATCGAGGACCCTCCCCTAGGGTCAGGGGATTTGACCTCAGGTAACTTTCATAACTCGGTGAAAATACTCGCATACCTGTAACTCTGTAACTTGAATTCGCTGCGAGGCCGAGCCTTCAAAACAAACAGCAAAGATACAATTCTAACTTTTTTTCTCAACGACTATAATATGTATCCCTGATTAATTTCTCGCTGAGCCGACTACACGGGCAATCCCCAGGGAGAATTGTACTCGCAATAATCAGGAGGATCTCGACTTACAAAATGGAATAAGGAAGATTGGCATTTATTTCCAATTGGCCTCGAAGGGTGAACCTTATTGGTAATTGGCTGTAATTTAATTTTGAAACAAGAATACTAAAACTATAAAATTTTGCCAAATGTGATTTTTGTTAATTCTATTATTAATTGAATTAGCTATTAAATAGCTCATGGTTGGTATCATTTGTTTGAAGAAAATGTTTAAAAAAAATAAAAAATATATAATTTCGTGAAAAACTAGAAATGTATATCAGAAAGCCTGAAAACTCTTACTCTCAATCGAGAAGCACATCACATTAGATCATCAACTTGAATAGTCCACTGCTGGACATAGGCCTCTCCTTAGA